GTTTATCTATGCCAAAGACTGATGAGAGATCAAGGTTAAGATAAAAACTAGCCATTAGATTTAACCACATGGAAGTAATTTTTACTTTGGGCAAGAGCTGTTTGGTAGAATGGTGGGTACAGGTGCATGAGTGGAGTGGGTTTGGTGAAGGGGCAGGGAATGTGAGACCCAGGAATACAGACTCTTTTTTAGAAGTTCTATGAGGAATGGGGAGAAGCAACTGGGTAGTACTAGAAAGGTACAAGAGTTCAAAGAGTAACTTATTTCCTTGGGAAAGGTTTCAGCTTGTTTAAATGCTGATGTGAAGTGTCTGATAGAAAAGTAGGTTAAAGTTATCGGAAAAAAGTATAATAACTAATAATAACAGCTAACACTCATTGAATGCTCAATATATACTAGGCACTCTTCCAAGTTCTTCATGCTTAGTAACTCCTTTGATGCTCACAGGTAGGTACTGTGATTATTCCATTTTTCAGATAAGGAAATAGAAACCTGGGGAGTTGGAAGGACTAACTGATGGGATAACTTTGCTTAAGAGGTGGAAAAGAGTGGGATCCAAAGGCCAGATAAAGGAACTACCCTTGTACAGAAGAGGAACAACTTCCATTCTACAGGACCAGACATGGAAAGGATGGGATGGAGGTAGGTGAATTTATAGGTTTGGAGGCAGGAGACTGAGAGAATTCTCTTAATAGCTTCTATTTTGTCAGTCAGTCAGGAGAGAAGGGCATCTGCACAGCCTGAGATGAGGTGGTAGGCTGGTAGGTTTGAAATATAAAGAAGGCGTCAAATAGACCCTATAAAGAATAGGAGAGAATTTATGTTAACTCGGGAGCATGAAATGATTGCAGGCAGCCCTGAGACCCCACTGCAGTTAGAAGGCCAGTGCTAGCCATGTCATTCATTTTCAGGGTTGTGTGGTTTCCCCATGCTCAGTTTCAGGCCAGAGGAGAGGTAGTGCTGTTAAGACTATCCAAGAAGGATCCATACTAAAGTCTTGGTGTTTAGTCAACTATGGAGATCTAGAAGACCTCGGAGGTAAACCAAATGGGTCAGGGGTATGGGTAGGGCAGGGGAAGACTAAGGCGTATAGATCCGTTTGATAGGCACTTACTCGAACCTTCTTTACAAGTAGAGTATAATCATATATAATCATACTTAATTAATCAGGTAGACCGGGAATGGATGGTGCCCAAAGATAAAAAGTAAAAAAAAGTAGACCTTGGTGAAGGGGTATATGGGAACTCGGTACCTTCTGCGTAGTTTTTCTGTAAACCTAAAACTGCTCAAAATAATAATAATAATAATAAAGTCTATTAATTTCAAAAATACACCTTGGAATATATAAGGTAGGGACTATCTGAACATGACTTTACCATATGACTGCATATGACTTATCTTGCTTGTCTACAGTGGCTTGGCAGTTCAGAAGAAAAAAGGAGCTTTGGACTATTGTCTTTTCGGACCACAAAGCACATGCGCATTATCCTATACCCACTGAATATTGATGCTATTCATTGGTGTTCAGTTCTGGGTAACCTTAAACTATGAAAGTTTTCTGAAAGTGCTGAAAGTTTCAATAAAGGCACTACTAAGGCCTGTTCTGAAAACTTTGTTGCAAACCAAAGAAACTACCTGTCAGAAGAGAAATTTACTAATGAGCCAACAGGTGGCAGTATAACATGGTGTTCTTGAATTTTTTAATAATAGAGCTAATTAACAATTAGGGCAGCAGAAGTCTCTCAAAGTGGAAATAAGGTGGAGGGGGAAGGAGGACAAGGTGAGGGA